TTGTGCCAAGTGCAGGGTAAACACTCCCCAGTAGCCAAAAAGACCTAAAAACTCTTGTAATACTGCCGTAGTGGTAGGGGTGAGGAAAGCAGTCTATGACTGCTTCAGGAACAACTTTAGTTTTACCAACCAGACAACCCCCAAGAATTTTACAGACAAACCAGATCCCCAAATCTTGGTGCTGTTCACAGCCCATCCTTTTTCCTGTAGATGTTGCAACAATCTAGGAACTGCCTCTTCTAAATCTGAAAGAGAATCAGACGTGAGCATGATATTGTCAATATAGTGATACAACTGCACTGTTTGCAGTTTATTCCGTGCAGCCAAGTCCTGGGCTACAAGTCCATGACAGATGGTGGGACTCTGGAGATAGCCCTGTGGAAAGACTGAATGTCCACGGCCAGCCTTCCCACGTGAAGGCAAACTGTTCCTGGCTTTCCTGTGCTATGTCAATAGAGAAGAAAGCATTAGAAAGGTCTACTACATAATGATACGTTCCCAGTTCATGGCTGAGGGTGTCCAGAATGTCTGCTATAGAGGGGACAACAGCATGCAAAGGGGGTGTGACTTTATTCAATTCCCTGTAGTCCATGGTCATATGCCAGGAGCTGCCTGGCTTTCTCACTGGCCACACTGGGGAATTAAAAGGACTATGAGTGGGCTTTATGATGCCCACCCTCTCCAACTCCTGTAGAGTTTCTCCAATTTCCTTGTGCCCCCCAGGCAATTTATACTGCTTAGTACATGTCACCCACTAAGGTACAGGCAGAGCTACAGATGGGTTCTTAGCATGTCCCCTCAGAAGTGCCTTTACAATATGCACCCTCAGTCTGAACTCACCTCAAGTGATCTGCAACCAAAGGCCTTGCAAGATATCTACTCCCAAAATATATTCAGGGATGGGAGAAATGTACTGCATACTCCTTTGGGGGTAAATGTCCTATCGCCAGTGAGATTTAGGCTTTCTTCACTCTAATTTCCTTACCCCCTTAGCCATCTATCACAGCAGGGGCCCTGGGAAAATGCTCAGGGTTGCCATGAATCAGAGAACACTCAGCTTTTGTGTCCACCAACACCAGGACATGTTGTACATTCACAGGGGACCAATGAATTGTTAATTCTACATGTGTCCCCTGGTCCCCACCATGTCCCCCAAAGTGGGGACTTTGATCCCCCCCTCAGTTGAACTGTGAGGCCCAATCATCCTCCTGATGGGTAGGGCCAAGGTGAACCCTGAGTACTGTCTCCCATGAAGTTTTGCAGGGACACAGGTTGGGCATGAGGCCTTGACTCTGGTTTCTGTGTCTGGGACCTCAGCAGCTGGAACTGCTGCCCTGGCTTTAATTGGTTCCACCATTCTAACAAGATTCTATTGGGTTGCCCATTGAGTTTTTCTTTCACTATCCCGGCCTTTATCAAATCAGCCCCCATCCGGCTCCTTGAGACCTTCATGGAGCCTTTTGCATCTCTCCTCTCAGTCGTGGCCTGTACTTCCCTCCGAGCTCTTATTGTTTCAACCTCCCCCAGATCTGCTAAAGTACGAGTGGCCTCCCTTATGGGGTACCCTAGGTGGGGGGCAAGAGTCTTCACTAGGGGCCCAAAGAGAGATGTGGGAGCTGTATGCAGCACCAGATTTTTCATTCCTATAGTGAACACCTCCACATCAGGGCCCTGGGGGATTATATTATAGATGATATTTTTCATACCCAATTCCCGCAGTACCTGTTGAGCTCTGGATATGTTTTCCAACTACTGGGAAAATATGGTAAATCACCCTGATTAGGCCAAACTATCCTGATGGCAGCTGTCAGCCATTCCAGGAGTGTCTGATTCCCTGAGGCGTGACGGGCATTTTGCAAGTGCTGCCGGAGGGAAGGGTGTGTGGTCAGGAAGCCATTCTACTCATCTCAGTACCAGACACAACAATATTTTCCACCCCCATATCCCAGAGATATGTAAAAGCCATGTAGGCAGAGATTCTGATGGCCTCTGCTTATACCGGATGGTCATGTCCACCAGCTCATCCTGGGTATAAGAGGGCTCCACAACCTGGGGAGGGGGCTGCTCCTCCTCCTGAGGTTGTTTGGTTTTTATTTTCTTAATTATAGCTGGGCGGGCTCCCCCAAGAGATGCTGAAGTGTGTCTCTCTCCCGCCTAAGTCCCTTTCTCTCCTCTCTAACCCTCTCGATAATCCTCTCTTTCTCCTGTATAACATTTTCCACTATCTGGATGAAAAGAGACTGTACAATACCAGCTGCCACACAGCCCCCTAAGGTCTCCATGCAGTCTTCCAACTCATGGAGGGCTAATTCTGCAGTTTCCGGTGTTTCCACCCTTCCCCAGTTCTAGGAAATGCCCCACCCCTCTAAGAGGTATTTACTCTAGACCAATTCCCCACTAAGGGTTCCCAAATTGGAAGCCCCACAACTGGGGGGATAATAACAGGTGAAACAGTACCCTCTACCGCTGCATCCACTGGGGCCTCCCTACCATCCACAGGAGTAGCCCTCCCAAAGGTCACACCCATTATGACAGATTTTGGGTTCAGAGGCACCCTGCCAACTGATGCCAGATGTAAGTCTGGAGAGAGGAAATTCCGGGGCAAAATACCTCTTAAAACCGAAATCAGTCTAAGGGAGAAATAAAGTTTAAAACCCCATTATTGTTTACCAACTGCAGTCTAGGGCCGTTTCTCTCCCCTGCTCCTGAAGGAAGCAAGCCAGCCCCTTCCCTTAAACTCTCAGGTTCAGACATGCCCTTGGTTGCCCAGGTAATTACACACTGACACGGAGATGAACTTCTCTCCACCCCTGAGGATATGCAAAGGCACTAAAGGCAGGCGAGATATTCTGGGAATGTTACAATTTTACCCGCACCCACAGATACCAACTTTTATGGTATAGTAGAAATAAGAGGAGACTTCAAAAGATTTGGACAGGGAGTGGTTAGAGATGGGGAAGTGAGACCAAGAGAGTAAAAATGGAAGGTGAGGAAAGCGTATTTCTAGAAGGAAAGAGTGACAACTGATGTAGAGAAACTAAGTTAGGTCATGATGATAATGCGCATGGGGTCTGCAGTAGAGATCTCTAGTGACTAGAAAGACGGTTTCCATAGGGTGGTAGTGATGCCGGGGTTCTTGTTCACGATGCCGAAGAATGAGCTTCACAAACACTCAAGGTAGGAGAGCAAAGGACAGGCTTTCATTTAGAGATAAAGTGAGAGGACAGAGCTCCGGGCTCACGCCAGGAGGGGACAAGAGAGTCTGTGATGGTGCGTTGTCTAGGGGTTTTATAGGCAATTGAGGATTTTTGGGAACATGAAAAAGACTTAGGGGTGTGGACTTGTACCATCTGCCCTGCCCTCAAGGTGGGCTGGGCTATTGTCTGTTTGCTAAGGCTGTTTACAGTGAAGTCACGGGTTATGCTGAGACACTTTTCTTTATCTGCAGAACACTCAAACATTCCAGGCCAAGTTGCTCCTGGCCTTTTGACTTTTAACTGATCTCACTGAAGATGTCTATATTCTTAGTCTGGTATCTTTTCCCTAGAGAATTAGTGTGACCTTGACTTTGCATAATGCTTAACACAGTCTTTCAATAGGGACTTCTTTGCCCACTGTTACATTGCTCTGACTGTAAATATTCCGCCCTGCTTTTCCCGGAGGCCCTCACCCTACTCTGACTTACCCCCTCTGTCCCTGTCTCAGTAGGACAGAAATCGGAGTCCAGTAACGTGAGTTATTTGACGTGAATAGTATTTGAGCAGTTGGGGTGATCCGTGCTCACGGCCTCCTTACAATCACCTAAGTCACTATCTTAACTGTAAGGTAAAATGGGGCCGAAATAACCAGGCGAGGAGGCTACAAAGGAGCCAAAAGTTTAATAGGGCGCAATGCCGGGCAATGTTCACAGGTCTGGTTCATCACAGGCCGGAGAAGGCGCAGCCAGCAGGGCATGCGGCTAGTTTATAGCGAAGTTAGGGGGAGGGAGGGTGTGCAGCGGCCCCAGGATTGGCTAGCCTAGGGCACCTTTTCCAGGTTGGGAGGGGGCAGCAGCCGGGGACTTTGGCACGTCATCAGGCCAGAATCTGTTGCCCTCTTTCCCTTACTAGGCCGGGGCTGGGGGCTTTGCTGCCCCCCTTTATTTGGTTAGGGCTGAGCTCGTCTGACCTGCTCACCCCTCCCTCCGGTGCCTCCAGCCTTACATGAACTATTTGTTATGTCTTCACCCGGCTCCAACAGGGCAGGAATTTTTTATCTATTTTGTTTATTTATTAACTCCACACATCTAGAAGAGCATCTGACTTACGTTGGGTGCTCAAACATTTGTTAAATAAATGAATGAAATAGCAAATTGTCTATAAAGGTAAGAGGGAGAAGGAGCCTGAACATAACCAACAACACAGTTCGTGCCTTTGCAGAGTTTTTTGTCTTAAGTGTGAGGTAGACTCTATTCCACTCCATGACTTCCTGCTTATTGTTGGTAATAAGGGAGGGGAGGGTAAAGGGTCTGAGTTTCCCAGCTCGATGAAAAGTGACAGGGAATATTCATTATTATTGGGTCGCATGCATTTTGTTCAGAAACAGACTTAAACGTCCCTATTTAATATGCATGTTTTTTTCGTCTTTTACGTAGAGAAAACATTGGTTAGGTCTTAGTACCTGGATCCTTCCAAGCGAGGCACCCAGGAGGCGCTGAACAGAGCCGTATTGTGGAGGGTATTGGGGCCCGGCGGGCGCTGCGCGCTTTTCTGGAGCGCTTGCACACGTACAGATTTTGGCGAGGCGGACTCTCAAGTCGTGAATCTGTGGGAGTAGCTGCGCTGATAAGACGAGCGGAAGGAAGAGACTGAATCCGAGAGCTGAGCCTGTGTGGCCAACGGCAGAGGAGAGAGCAGAGCCTAGGTCACCGGGCAGCTCCCAAAGAGCAGCCGCGCCCACGCAGCTGATGCCAAGCCCGGGGCTGGCCGATCGGCCCGGCCGCCCACCTGAGCGAGCTGGCTGCGCCTGCGCGCGGGCGGCTGGAGCGCGGCCGCGACTGGGAGTCACGTGGCGCGCGGGCCAGTCGCCCCGCCCCGCCCCGCCCCTTTCCCGGCGAGACTCTCGGAGCCGTCCGACCTGCGCAGGGCGGCTGAGGGTGAGTGTCCGCGAAGGGGCGCGCGTCGTGCAGCCCCGGGCCGGCCTGCGCTGGGCCGCGGGCAGGCTGAATGCGTTGCAGGACCACGGGGACAAAATGGCGGCGGGGTACGCCCTTTCACCTCGCCCCTCACCTGGGAGTTCGGGTGCAGAGGGGCAGGCTTCCCTGCTGGGGGCGGGGAGCCGCAGCGGCTCGGGAGGCCCGGGGGGCCAGGGGGCAAGGGTGGGCAAGCCCCGGGCCTGCCGTGCGGGTCGAGCTGGGGCGTGAGGGCTGCGGGCCCCGCGCATCCCGCCGCGGAGGCTTGGGCGGGGGGGTGGGGGGGCTGCCCCGCTTCCTCAGGCGTCGGGAACGTCCAGACTGCGAGGGGCTTTCGGAGGGGCCTCCCTCCCGGCTTTCCATGTGACAGGTGACTGCCGGCCCGTGCCCCAGGGTCGGGGCTCCCCGCGCCGTCTCTGCGCGGCGACTTCGTTTTAGCTCTCCCTGGGGAGCAGGGCGGGGGCCGCCTCTCCGCCTTAAGGACGCGGAAACGAGGCCTGGGAGGATGCGGAGTCTTGACCAAGCCGCCCCCGGGGGTGGGACCCGGTGCGCTGCCGCCGCTGCAGCTCGTTCCCCGCCGGCGGCTCGCGCCTTCTCTCTCCCGTGAAGACGCGGCTGTCAGAAAGCAGGCAGAACGCTGGTCCTCGGACGGCATCTGCTGCTGCCAGGCGGCTCTTGCCGAGCTGGGGCCGTCCGCCTGCGGGTAGCCTCCTGTCGCTCGTGGACTGTATCGGTTATTTTATTTGTGCTGTTACTTCCTAGAAAACAGCCCTTCAGTGTAGCCATCTCAGCGAATAGGTAGTACCTCCTTATATGTATCACAGTTTGTTCTTGTCTGCAGGTTGATTTTACCAATATTAACTAATTTCGTCCTCCTAAATAATCTGAGGTAGAAAGATGGAATGGGCATTACGCCCGTTTTATGACTGGGTAAACTGAGGCTCGGAGAGGTTATTACTTGCCCCAGGTCGCCGGCTGGTGAGTGAGTGATCCGGGACTAAGCGTTCAGGTCTAGGATTGGCAGTCTGGCCATGATCGCACTCCGGTTTATATGAGTGCTCTGATCCTTGTATTTTTTTCTGTTAACTGTGACTTTTCTTCAGTGTTGTGCACAGATTGTTTTTTTGTCACATACTGAGATGATCCGAATAATATCCACAAAGGGATTAATATTTTAATACATCAAAGAGTCCATTTTTAAATATGATTTGGAAAGTTGCCTTTGTGGGAGGAAGTTTGATATGATGGCTTTGAGGGCAGACTGATCTGAGTTCGAGTCCTAGCTCTGCTACAGGTCCTTTGGCAGATCATTTAATTTTTCTGAGGCTTAGTTTCCTTATCGGTGAAATAGAGATTATACTTTCCGTCTCATAAATTTGGTGATAGCAAGTAAATGAGGTGTCTGGAAAACATTTAGAACTGCTTCTGCCTCAGTAAGCCTTCGACAAACTCCTGCCCCTTTCCTTTTTCCCCACTTCTTTCAGCTGCAGTTTTTTTATTCTCTGTAGTTAACTACCTGGTGGTTTAGGTCATTCCACCTGGTGGATGATGTGTGGAAGCATAATCATTGTTACTGTACAGATGGATTAATAAATAGTTTTGGTAACTGGAAACCAAAGGATACAGTGTTTTAAACATAAACTTGAAAAATGTCCTTAGGGCTTCACAGGTACTTAAGAATCACTAAAAGTTTGATTTGATACTGACTTTATTAATACCTTCATTTAACTATTTTACAGGAATGTTTTGAAGATAAGATGAAGGGGCTTGAGATTCTGTTTTTTACCTTCATCTTCATACCTAACCACAACCCAATCTATTTTTAAAGGATCAAAAATTCTTTGGGAATCACATGTGAATATTCTTTACACTTAGTCCGTAGTGGGTATTTAGTGGGAAGTTAGACAATTCTTTCTAATGGTGCAATCTGATATCTATTGTGAAGTGGGCATTTCTGAAGTTCTGAAAGTGAAAACTGCAGCTGGCTTGTATAACAAAATTGTACAAACATTATTTCGTAGCAAATCTCAGACTTCATATTTGATTTATAAAAATTGCAGTATGTGGTAGGCCTGCTTTTACTACAGTATTGGAAAAGAGAGGTAGTTTTGGTATTTTCAAAGAGGAATGCCATTTTATGGGAGAAAATAAATGCCTCTCGGTTGATGTATATTCATGGTAGTGTGTGTAAGTGTGATCAGAATTGAAAACCTCATTAAACAGCTTGCAGTTATAAATTGTCTATTTTGCTCTTCAAAATACCTATTTTGCTGTAATACTCTTATTCTCCACTTAGCAAAGATATGAAAAATTAAGTTTTTGAGTATGCTTACAATATTAAGTACCAGACTTAGAAAGGCAAATACTAAGAATTTCTTAAATTTCAGAAAGAGCAAAAATATGAGTGATAGATTTTGGGAACATTGGAGAGGAACTGTGACTGCAAACCCCAGTATCTGTAGAGTTTTTTGGCAAACATGACAACGATTCATAAATGTACTGTCCTGGCTACTGTTTGATGGGCCTGTATATTTTACAGTAGCAGGCTTTTTTTTGGGTTGCTATAAACTTCCTGCCTTTCCAGAACCTGTGTACCCAAACTCAGGTAAGAAAAAGAGAGGCAGGCCCTTCCTGGCGCTTGGGCCAATCTTCACATTTCCATCTCTAGGACCCACAGGTGGCTCCACAGGCATTCTGGAACTGCAGGGCAGTCTAAGACAGTGAGTCTTCAGTTCATCGTAGGCATCAGCTTGTTCAGAAACCTTGGGCCCAGTAAGACCTAGTGTTTATTCTCTGTTTACTGACCTTTTTTGTGTGTGCGTGCCCCATTTTCTGCTTGACCATTCTTTTGCTTTAGGCTAGTTTCTTAAATTTCATTTACTTGAGTAACGTTGCCAATATTTTCCCATATCCATTTTTTTTATGTTAACTGACTTTTCATTTACACTAGTGTTACAAATTTTCCTTTAAAATTTAAGTAAAAATGTTATATAAACAATGTTTATATAAATGTTATATAAACTTATGGCAAATATAGTGAAAATAACTCAATGATTGAAACTTTGGAAGTTCTGCATTAAGGATTAGCTTTTTTTTTAAACAGCTTTATCGAGGTATATTTCACATACCATAAAATTCAGCCATTGAAGTGTACACTTCAGTGGCTGTTGGTGTATTCATGGAATTGTGCAACCACAGTCAATTTTAGAATATTTTCAGAATATTTAGAATATTTACTTCATAAGCATTAGCATTCACTCCCAATTTTTGACTCTACTTCCCTCTTCTCCATCCTACTCCCTATCCCATCCCCAGGAAACCACTAGTTCTACTTTCTTTCTCCATGGATTTGCCTATTCTGGCATTTCACATCAATAAAATCATGTAGTATGTAGTCTTTTGTGTCTGAATTCTTCTTCTATATAGTGTAATGTTTTCAAGGTTCATCTATGTTGTAACATCAGCATTTCGTTCCTTTATTAAAAAATAGACTTAATTTTTTTAGAGTAGATTTAGTATTGCAGCCAAATTGATAGAAGTACAGAGACTTCCCATATGTTCTTTCTCTCAACATCTCCCACAAGGTGGTACATATGTTATAATTGCTTATAATGTTATAATTGTTACAATGTTGAAACCTGCACTGATACATCATTAGCATCCAAAGCCTGTAGTTTGCATTAGTTTTTGCTCTTGGTGTATATTTTGTGGGTTTTGACAAATGTATAAAGACATGTATCCACCATTATTGTATAATACAAAATACTTTTACTGCCCTAAAAATTCTCTGTATTCTGCCTAGTTATTCTCTCTTCTCCCCAACTCCTGGCAACTTATCTTTTTCCTGTCTCTGTAGTTTTGGTTTTTCCAGAAATTTCATTTCTTTTTATGACTGAATAATATTCTGTTATGTAGATGTACTACATTTTATTTATCCACTCATCAGTTAATGGGCATTTAGATTGTTTAACTTTTTGAATGTTAATGAATAATGCTGCTGTAAACATTTGTGTACAGGTTTTTGTGTGGACATGTTTTCATTTCTCTTGGGTATATACCTAGGAGTTGAATTGCTACATTATATGGTAATCCTTATGTTGACTTTGTGAGGAACTGCCAGACTGTTACAAAACCAGCTGCGCCATATTACATTCTCAACTAGCAGTGTGTGATGGTTCCAATTTTTACACATCCCTCTAATACCACCACTTGTTATTGTCTGTCTTTTGGATTATAGTCATCCTAGTGTGAGTATGAAGTGGTATCTCACTGTGGTTGTGATTTGTATTTCCTTAATGACTAATAATGTTCACATCTTTCCAGGTTCTTATTAGCCATTTGTATATCTTTTTTTGAGACATGAGGACATAACTTTCCAACTCGATCTTGTGGTATTTAACCTGACACGCCCTCTTGCTCTTGCTCTTGAGTGTGCTTGCCGTCTCTCTGTTGGCTTTTTATTCATATCATTATGTGGATTGCTCCCCATAAGTCCTTTGTGGTATGCCCCTCCTGACACGTACATTCCTTATGTTTAGGTTAATATCTACACATTTTAGTACCTGTTTGCCCAAGTGCACTAGGAACTGTCTTGAATTTAACTTAAAAAAACTTATGCATTTTAAGTATCACTTGTTTTCAACTCAGAGGCAGAGACACTCTGTAAGGTGCCAAATTGAATAGTAATGCAGAAGACATGTAGTGATTTAAGTTGGAGAAAATCAGTATCTGGTAGATTTTAAGAGGTAGCAATTCATTCTTGAGCCTTTTATCCCTCTGGGGAGAAAAAGGCCTGATAATTAGCATTTGTGATCTCTGGTTTGAAAATTTTAGAGTCAAAGCTGAGTTTAATCTGTAATTTGGAAGTACACTTAAATTTAAAGCATTATAATCTTTTAAAGTTGTAATTGCAGTGCAATTATAGAAAATCTGGAAAATAGCAAAGAAAAAAATTACCCACAATTTGAATGGTGTACACTTACCGATTATTGAGTGCTGATTCTGTGCCGTTTGGTGCTTCAAACATAATATCTTTGATTTTGAAAATATTAAAAGCTGCAAACCTTGAGGTTTACAAATGTTACATAACTTGCCTAAAGGATGCATAGATTGTAAGCAGCAGTATCAGGATAGAAATTCAGATCTGACTTCAGGGTTTATGCTCTTACTCCATATTGCTTTGTGTGTGTTTCCGACCTGTTTTTCCAGCGCAAAAGGATCATATGGTACATAAACCTTTGTGCTTGCCTTAAAGATATTCTTGGTGTCTAGCTTACAACTGTTTTTATTGGAAGGTTTGGTTCCAGAATGATTGATTCTGGAATGGCTGAAAGAAAAACATGTAAAAACAGGTAATTCTGCTTAATCACAAGCCATCCAACTTCCTCCCCTTCAGAATCTTTGTAAGCATGATATAGAGGAAAAACCTGCCATTTCTAAGCATCTTAAGTAGCGAAAGAAAAGATTGTTTAGATATTGATCCTGTCCTTCAGGATCTTAAAGTGTAGCAGATAAGAAAACTCCCATACAAGGGAAATGGTGAAAAGAAGATAACACTTACTGAGCAGTTGCTGTGTGTTGGGTTTATACATTATTTAAAAAATTATTTGGGTGTATGTCAGATACTGTGTTAATTGGAGGGAACTCTAGTATGCTTCCATTTAACTCTGTAGATATTATTATCTTTACAAAAGAGAAAACAAGTTCTGAAGGATTTAATGACTTGTCCAAAGTTATATAACTAGTAACATACTAATTAACTAGGATTCAGTCCCACATCAGTGTGCACTTTTTAACACTGTGCCATGCTAGTTTCAGTAGATATGTGTCTCATCTAATTCTCCTAACGACCTTGTTAGCCCTGATTTTTTTCCCCTAAGCTGTGTGTCCTTTTCTTTAAATCAATTTTGAGGTATAATTAACATAAAAAAGTGCACCTACTTTATAAACAGATTGTTCAATACGTTTTGACAAATTTATAGTTGTGAACCACTACCACACAATCCAGATGTAGAACATCTCCATCTCTGCAGAAAGTTCCCTTGTACCCTTCTTAGTCCTTCCCCTACAACCAAGGCAGTCTTCTTTCAATATTTTCAATATTTCTCACCCAGGATTGGTTTTGCTTATTCTAAAACTTAATATAAATGGAATAATTTAGTGTGCATTCTTTTGTGTAGAGTTTCTTTTTCTGAGCATAATTTCTATGATGTTTATCCCTTTTGTGTCTATCAATGGTTCATTCCTTTCTGTTGCTTTCTATTCTATTATATGGACATACCACAATTTGATGATCTCTTTTCCTGCTGATGGATATTTTGGTTGTTTCCAGTTTAGAAATACTATAAATAAAGCTGCTTTGAACATTTGTATATATGTCTTTGGAAAATATGTTTTTATTTCTCTTAGGTAAATACCTCACCTTCATTTTATAGATGAGAATACTGGTACTCAGAGAGATTAAATGACTTCGCAGGGTCACATTGCCAGTGATTTGGTTGACTCCAGTGTTTCTATATTCTCTTTCCTCTCTATCATGCTTACTTTTTTAGAGGTAAAGAATATAGACAAAGTGGTCTAGGAATTCAGGTAGGATCTCTGTCAGCTGGGGATGTCAGAGTAGGCTTCACAAAGATGACTTGAGCTGGTCTTGAAGAATTGAAAGGCTTTGAATATGTAGAAGGTGAGAAAAAGGAACACAGTGAGCAGAGATTCTTTTTTTTTTTTTCCTAGCAGATGAAACAATTTTATTTCACGGTTTTCTTTAAAACCACAAGGACACTATGTTCTTCATACAAAAACATTAGAACAGATAACTGTTCTTTCTAGAAAACAATTATATAGACCCGCTGAAAGAAAAATGCACACCATTATACGGTTTCAGTGAAGTTGCTCGGAAAAAAACTCACATCTGGACTGATTCTAAAACATACCATTGCACCAATTTTCATCTTTTGGTTGAAAGTACAGATTATTATCATCAGTATGCGTCCCTGCATTCTTACATACTTGACAGTATACATACACACTGGTTTATCACTTAATGTTTCATTGCCTCATCAGCCTTTTCTGCAGGTTCATCGGCATGTTGAGCAGGCTGCGTCTTTCTCTGAGGTCTTTCTTCAAGACCTTCCAGGAATGGAGACACACCATTATCATCATAAATCGTGAACTCCAAGTCTTTGCCGACAATTCCAGTGGAAATATTCTTTGTAGTTAGGTCCTGTTGTGCAGGACGTGTCTCTCGTAAGGCACGCAAACCATGCTTAACCAGTTCATTCAAATTGCACTCCATAAACTCAGACATATGTCTTTCCAAGTAAGTACGAGCTGATTGAGAACGAGCTCCAATGGACATGGCTCTACAGTCAAAATAGTTAGCAGATGGACAGGTTTGGAAAATGTGAGGTCCCATGTTGTCATAACCAGCAATAAGCAGACCAACACCATATGGTCTCCGGCCATATCGTTGTGTTGGTATCTGGGTCTTGCTTCCAATTAGAGACACAGGACGAGACACAGGAAGAGGTCTGTCAAATACAAATCTGGAATCCAAACACTCCTGGCACATAAAATTACATAACAGTCTAGCATCAGCAGTTAAGTGCTGCAACTGAGATGCCAATATGGTTGTCAACATGGAGAATTTTTTTCTGATGAGCTGCAAGCTCTGATTGTGCTCTCTTCAGTGCAACCAACACTGCATGGGTTTTGGATTTAAGACCAACTGTGGCTGAACCTTGTTTGACAGCTTCCATTGCATATTCAATTTGATGAATTCTGTCCTGAGGGCTCCAAACAGTGACATCATTGTCATACTGGTTGAGAAACATGGTTCCAGCGCCACGGGTCTGGTAGGCGGCCTCCTGCCGAGCAGAGATTCTTTAGTATGGATTTCATTTGATGGTAAATAAGTATTAACACCTACTCAGTGTTAGGTACTATGCTGTGTTCTGAGACCAGAGCAGTAATAAAATCAGCAAACAACATGGAGCTGACATTCTTGTGGGGAGAAATGGGCAAGAATTAAGTAAATAATGTAAGGCGATAAGTGTTCTAGAGAAGTGGGACTGGGTATGTCAGTGGTGGGAATATAAATGGGTCGCAGTCTGAAGCCCTTGAGAAGGCTTCACTGAGAAAGTGACATGTGAGCAAAGATGAAGTAAATCTTGAGCGTTCCAGATGGGGAGTCGAACACGTGTACAGCCTGAGGCAGAAGTGTGTCCGGCATGTGGGGGAACATAGAGACCAGTGTGGAAGGGATAGAACGCACACCAGGAAGGAGAGGAGCAGGAGGTGTGGTCGGAGAGGTACGGGTATGGCGCGCCGCTGTGGGGGCTTCGGCTTTTACTCTGAGTGAGGTGGAGAGGCTGGGGGAGTTGGGAATAGAGACACTACATGGAAAACACAACAGTTTTACTGAGATATAATTCATACACTATACAATTCACCCATTTAAAAAATGGTTTTTAGTATGTTGACAGAGTTGTGCAACCATCACCATAATGAATTTTAGAGCATTTTTATTACCCCACTAAGAAACTCCATTCTCATTAGCAGTCACTTGCATTTTCCTGTAACTACCTAGCCCTAGGCAACCAATAATGATTTTCTGACTCTATACATTTGCCTGTTCTGGGCATTACATATAAATGAAATATGCAGTATGTGGTCTTCTGTGAGTAGCTTCTTTAACTTAGAATGATGTTTTCAAGGCTCATCCATGTTGTAGCATGTATAAATAAGCACTTTATTCCTTTTTATGGCTGAATAATATTCCATTGTACATACCACATTTTATTTTTCCATCAGTTGGTTAATTTGGATTGTTTCCATTTTTTGGCTGTTATGAATAATGCTACTGTGAGTACTTGTGTATAAATTTTTGTGTGCACATATGTTTTCATGCAGCAGTTTAAAAGGAGCAAAGTCACTTGACAAAGGATAAATTACCTAGGCTGTCATCCCAGAAGAAGGTTTGGTTCTGGTTGCTGCTTTCTCTTTGTGTTCATTAGCTCTTCTGCAGGGTTAGGCCATTCTTTCTAGCAATTTCCCTGTCCCTTGTGTTCTCTCTAGTTTCTCTGCTTTGGATTTCTTTGAGTAAAGGTTTGACCCCATTAAGTAGGTCTCCGGGAAGGTAGGGTCTGTTCTGTGAAGTCCCTTACATAATTAGTAATTAAGGTATTCTAATAAAAATCTCAGTTTTTGAAAGTTTCTAAGGAGTGTGTTGTGTACTAAGTTGGGATTTATTAGTGGGTCATAACTCAGTTCAGTGAAAGCAGCCTTTAAAAAATGAAATAGTGAAGGAAATATCAGAGCCCATCTCACACAGTAGGGATAAATGTTAACTTCATAAAACTTTTGTTTCAGTTAAATGTGTATGACCTGAGTTGGTATATAAAGTATGGTGTATGTGTGCATGTGTATAGATGATAGTGAACAGTTTGAAACCCCTGAGTTGGGATATTGTGGACTATTCATGTATTTAACACTTTCTTTTCCATTTAATTAAAAAGAATTTTTTTGGGGGGAGCATTGAGGTATTGTTCATCATGGAGTATTTTAAACATGCTGTATTATATTTAAACAGGCAATATAAGTAAATGATTTAATTTTTTTAATGACAAACTTGGAGCTATGAGACTTGTATCTTTTTATGAATAAATATAATTTTCTGACAATATTATGGTTAATAATATATACATTTTTTTATTGTAGGAGTCATGCATACCCCATTTATATGGTAAATAAGAGTCTTGGCATAGAAGAGAATTAAAGAATGATGGTAAGTGATCAAGGTACCATAAATACTAAACTTAGTTGCTTTGGCCTTCCTCTTTCCTCCCTTTCATATATTTTTCTGTTATCTTTTTTGATGTAATAATTGTTACATACAAGATACTTTATGAAATATATTTGATGTAAAGCATAGTAATAAAGTGAACAACTGTGAATGTACTATTAAGCCTGAAAGCCCCAGACTCACTCTTAACATTTGTGGGACCTAGAGCAAGAATACAAATGGAAGCCAGCTTCTTTTATGCCTTAATCTTAAAAAGTGATAAATTAATCCATGCCAGCCAGCCTGACCTGCTTTCGTACCTGGGGCCCAGTCAGCTCTTACAGGAAGTGATTAGGGTGGAAGCGGGGCCCAGACAGTCTCTGAATCTGGGGACTGATATGGTGAAACTCCCCCAGAGAGCCTGGGTAGACAGTTTCCCTTCCCATATACCTTACTTTTCTAACTCAAGATTTTCAGGTAGTTCTAAGTATCTTCTTAAACTATCCCACTCAAACCCAGGAGGATGAGATACAGCAGTTTATGGGGGAACCCAGCCTGCTCACACACCTCCTTTAGAATATTTGGGGTAGCCATTCTTAAACAAAGTTAGATGCTTTTATTCTGGTTTCCAGCACAGAGGCTGTCATTTGTCTCCTCCCTTCATTGTTTGATCTTGGGGGTCATAGATCAGTTTGTGAATACCTCTTTCTTAATTCCTGTTTGTTCAGTTAGTTACTGATTATTTTTAGGTTTTGATATTTTTGATATTTTATTATTTTGGTATTTGATAGAATCTTTGAAAGTGTACGGCCCAGGATAGGAGCCAGTCCCATTTTCTGGGTGTAAGGAGTATATCTACACATGTTCTCTTTTCCTATCTCATCCCTACCCGCTCCACACTTGCCAGACTCATTTCTTTTACATCTTAAAGACTGCAACCGTCTGTATACCAAACATCTTCAGGAATAGGGGCTTTTCCCTCTTGATAAGGACTCTCGCCTATGAATGGCTCAAAAGCAAGTTCTTCCTGCTTTCCACTGGTATAGGTCACTGGCTGCAATACGTGTTGGAGTTCTCCACTTAAGGGCCTAGTAGAGAGGGTGCTGTGCTGCTGTAAGTATGTGCCCCATTTGGACAGTGTAGGTGTCTGTGCCATACCACTCTGTGGCCTTTGGGTCCAGTCTTGCACCTACTCCATGATGGGAGAGGTGGTTATTACCTTGGTCAGAGCTGTTCTGGTGATGGGCTCCATAGCCAGGAAGGTGTGGTACACAGCAGCCAGTTGCTTCTCTGTCAAGGTGTAACAGACCTCTGCTCCTGTCCATAGTTGTGACCAGAACCCAGCAGGTTAGTATGTCTGTTGAAGCCGCTGCCAAAGACTCCATCCATAACCATCTTTGGTTACATGAGCATCTAGCTCACAGGGTCTTGATGAGTCCATTTCATTCAATGCCTGTATGGCCTATACTGCCTGCTTGGCAGCACTAAAAGCAGCTGCACATGTCTCATTCCAGTCCTACCTGATGCCCCGTCGTATCAACCATATAAGGGCTTCAGAATTTGTGCCAAGTGCAGGATAAACACTCCCCAGTAGCCCAAAAGACCTAAAAACTCTTGTAATACTGCCATAGTGGTAGGGGTGGGGAAAGCCTGGACCTTGTGTATGACTGCTTCAGGAACAGCTTTAGTTTTATCTGACCAGACAACCCTCAAGAATTTCACAGACAAACCAGGTACCTGAAAGTTGGTGCTGTTCACAGCCCATCCTTTTTCCTGTAGATGTTGCAACAGTCTAGGAACTGCCCCTTCTAAATCTGAAGGAGAATCAGATGTGAGCATGATATCGTCAATGTAGTGATAAAAGCACACCATTTGCGGTTTCTTCCATGTGGCCTTATACTGGGCTACAAGTCTGTGACAGATGGTGGGGCTGTGGAGACATCCCTGTGGAAGGACAGTGAATGTCCACTGCCGGCCTTCCCACGTGAAGGCAAACTGTTCTTGGCTTTCCTGTGCTGTGTCAGTAGAGAAGAGAGCAATAGTGTCCAGAATGTCTGCTACAGAGCGGACAACAGCATGCAAAGGGGGTGTGACTTTATTCAGTTCCCTATAGTCCACGGTCATATGCCAGGAGCCGTCTGGCTTTCTCACTGGCCACACTGGGGAATTAAAAGGACTCTGAGTGGGCTTTATGATGCCCACCCTCTCCAGCTCTTGCAGAGTTTTTCCAATTTCCTTGTGCCCCGCAGGTAATTTATTCTGCTTAGTATTTGTCACCTGCTACAGGTGGGTGCTTAGCATGCCTCCTTAGAACTGCCTTTGCCACATGTAACCTCAGAACTGCCAGGTCCTGCAGGATATCTACCACCAGAATACATTGAGGGATGGGAGAAATGTACATGGTATACTTCTTTGGGGGTAAACTACCTATCTCAGTGAGATTTGGGCATTATTCCCTCTAACTGCCTTACCCCCGTAGCCATCTATCACTGCTGGGTTCCGGGAAAACACTCAGGTCTGCCATGAATCAGAGAACACTCAGCGTTTGTGTCCACCCATGCCAGGACACGTTGTACATTCACAGCAGACCAATGAATTGCTCATTCTACATGTAGCCTCTGGTCCCCACCATGTCCCCCAGCTTGGGGACCTTGACTGCCCCCTCCAGTCCAACCATGATGTCCCATTATCCTCTTCTGGGAGTGAGGACTCAGGCATATCCTGAGTACTGTCTCCCAGGAAGTTTTGTAGGGACACAGGCCAGGCATGAGGCCTTGACTCTGGTTTCTGTGTCCTGGACCTCAGCGGCTGGAACTTCTGCTCTGGATTTAATTGGTGCCACAGTTCTAACAAGATTCTATTGGGCTGCCTATCTAGTCTTTCTTTCACTATCCCGGCCTTTATCAGATCAACCCACATCTGGGTCCTCGAGACCTTCACGGGGCCTTTTGCACCTCTCCTTTCAGTCGTAGCCTGTACTTCCTTCCATCTCCTATTGTTTCAACCTCCCCCAGGTCTCCTAAAGTATGAGCAGCCTCACTTATGGGTTGCCCTAGGTGGGGGCCAAGTGTAGTCACTAGGGACCAAAAGAGAGATGTTAGAGCTGTATGCAGCACCAGATTTCTCATTCCTACAGTGAACACATCTTCACTGGGGCTCGGGGGGTCCATATTATAGATGATATTTTTTATACCCAAATTCTTCAGTACCTGTTGGAGCTCTACATACATTTTCTAACTACTGGGTAAATAGGGTAAATCACCCTGATGAGGCCAAAGTATCCTGATGGCAGCCGCCAGCCATTCCAGGAGTGTATGATTCCCTCAGGCATGATGGGCATTTTGCAACCATTGCCAGAGGGAAGGGTGAGTTGTCAGGAAAGCCATTCTGCTCATCTCAGTACCCGACGTAACAGTGTTTTCCACCCCCATATCCCAGAGATGTAAAAGCCATGTAGGCAGAGATTCCGATGGCTTCTGCCTATACCGGACACTCATGTCCACCAGCTCATCCTGGGTATAGGGGCGGAGCATGGACATGTGGACATGCCCACAACCTGGGGAGGGCTGGCTCCTTCCCCTGCGTAGCCCCTGGTTGTTTCATTTTTATTTTCTTAATTACAGCCTGGCTGGTCTTTAAAATAGGAGAGGATGGTACCTCTGGCAGTTGCCCTGATAGCAGATCTGCCCATGGCTCCGCCTCCTCCTCTATTCCCCCAGGCTCCTCCTCCATCACTGGGGCTGAAAGCACCACTCTTTCCTCCCCCTCTGCCATGGCCTCCTGCAACGTGGCTTTTCCTGCCGCCTCCCGCCTTGATGGTGCTAAGGAGTCTTCTAGGAGCATGACCTGCCTTTTCAGTAACTGTCTCTCTTCTTTAACAGCATCCCATAGGTTATTGCCCAGCTCCTCCAAGTGATGCTGAAGTGTCTCTCTCCTGCCTAAGTCCCTCCCTTTCCTCGATAATCCTCTCTTTTTCCTGTATAACATTTTCCACTGTCTCAATGAAAAGAGACCCTGCAGTACTAGCTGCTACACCCATGCTAGGGTCTCCAAGCTGTCTTCCAACTAATGGAGGATAAATTTGGCAGCTTCTGGTGTTTCCACCCTTCCCCCAAACTGGAGGTACTTTACCCTAGACCAGTTCCTCATTAGGAGCTCCCAAATTGGCAGCCCCACAGCTGGGGGCATAATAACAAGTGAAGCTGCACCCTCTGCTCCTTCATCCACTGGGTCCTCCTCACCATCCACAGGGGGGTTCCAGGCATCTCCCCACCATCTCTGGGGACAGCCCTCCCATAGGTCACACCCATTTTGACAGATTATGGGTTCAGAAGTCCTGTCAACCACCACCAGATATAAGTCCAGGGAGGGGAAATCCCAGGGCAAAATATCTCTAAACTGAAATCAGTCAAAGGGAGAAATAATGTTTAAAGCCCGTTTATTCCATACAAACTGCAGTCCAGGGACATCTCTCTCCTACTCTGGCAGAAGCATGTAAGGGCCTCTCCTTAGCCTCTCAGGTTCAGATAAGCTCTTGGTTGCCCAAGTAATTAGCCACTGATATGGGGATGAAATATCTCCATCCCTGAGTAACGCCTGTTGATATGTGTATACACTAAAGCCAGGTGAGATATTCTGGAAATATTACAGTTTTACCCACAGCAATAAAAGCTTTCTCCCCATCTAGTTTTCCCTCTACTGATTTTGGTTTCATAGGTTTATTTGCCCTGTACTGGGAACATGCTTTCCCCCTGGAGTTACACTACTCATTCAGTTCTTTTATTTAGGATTAATGTGTTGCTTTTTTTTTTTCACATACTCCCCAAATAAGTAATTAAAAGCTACCAGTAGTGAGGGTAACCCAAAATGGGTTGGAAATGGAATGGAAAGAGTAACATACTGCAAATCAATAATGTAACCAAGCTGAAGGGGGGCCAGGATGAGAAGAACTAATTGTAACAATTTTGGAAAACAAAATCCAGTACTTTAACTGGATATTGTAAAGCTAATGATTGGACCTGCATAGAAATGTTATTTCTTGTTAATGTGTTTCGTACAGAGACAGGGGTTAGCAATTCTGCAACTATGTATATATTAGAATTGAACAATAAGTAAATATATTTTACATAACCAGAGCTTGGCTTCTTAGGTAGAGAAAGAAATTTACAAATACAGAAAGGGTAAACTTACAATGAACCTTGTGGTGTAGGGTTTAAATTGCAGGCATCTTTATAAATTCATGGTTTTTACTATCTCTTTTAAGACAGATGGAAATATGGATGTCTGTATTATGGCTTGGTGTGCATACATACATAGCTCCTGTTATCTCCCATGATTCTGTGGGTTTACTGGTTGTTCTCTGGCTGTGCCTGGGGTGCTGGGATTGCAGCAGTGACATGGAGGCTTAACTGGTCTGGAGCATCCAAGATGGCTAAGTGGGGCTTGTCTGTCAGATGCTCAGCTGGGCCTGTCAACCAGAACGTGCTGCCTCGGGCTTCTCCTGGCATGGCAAGTGGGTTTCAAGAGTGAGTATCCCAAGAGAGAGCATTTTCAGGAAACCCACTAGTGTCTGCAAAGCTTCTTATGACGGAGTTTCAGAAGTTAATGCCGTGTCATTTCCTCCTCATTTTATTCAAGGGGAGGAGATTACACAAGGGCATGAACTCTAGCAGGTATGGTTTATTGAGGGAAAGGGGGGCAAATTGTAGATGAGCTATCATATTGATTAATTCACATACTGTTTTTTGCTCTTACATGTTTAGTTCATTTACTTGTATTATTAACTGTTTGAGAACAAGTATAATGCCTTAGATTTCTTTGTATTTTCCTCAGTGTCTTTTACAGTGCTTCACATATAGTAATTGCTCAGTAAATACATTGTTGCCTAAGGATTCCAAGAATGCTAAAAGCCCAGGCTGGCAATGACTAGAGGAGAGGATGAAGGCACCCATTAATTGGCCTGGGATTTTGAACTGAGCATAGTAGTGATCTTTCTTCATTAAGAGGTAGATTTCTCACACAGAGTTCAGGGTTAGGCAGAGAGGCTGCATCCTTGTGCTCTTAGGGATGCTTTTGAGCCCCTTTCCTTTCACAGCTACTTGGTTTATAAAAACAGGCTATTTTCATATAGTCATCATCAGTTGGGAGGTCATTTCTTTTATGTTACTGGACCTGGCTCCCTCTGGCCCAGGGTCTTGGTGGGGTTGAACCTGTAGGGGAGAGCTGATTTCAGTTGGATGGGACTAGAGCAAGCAAGAAATTTTATTTATATACATGCACATACACATGCATATATATATATATATATATATATATAAATATACACACATTGTGTGTAGTAGTTTGAGTTTTAAAAAATGCAATTTAAATATGTCAGTTACAGGAATTATTTAGATTCCAATAATATGGAAATAAAATTATACAGTAGAAATTTGCAACTGAGTAGAAATTTACTTTCGTATTATCTCTAGGGAGAAAAATAGGGTTCACTAAAACATTTTAAGTGACAGCTTTCAAGTGGGATTATGTACACATGTTTGTAAAAACTGCTCTTTTCCACACGGCGATCTTGATATGTAAAAGGCAATACTGAAGTGGGCCTACAGTGGTGTTTGTGCTCTTTAGGGAAGCTACTTCAAACCTTCGGTTGTATTTATTCTTGAAATAACTTATTTTTACAGTTGTTAAATTCAGTCTTAGAAGTAAAAAAGGTCTGTAATTTACTTTCTTTTCTGTTTAATCGTCTTTCCAATCTCAAGTTGGTTTTAAATGTTTCCTTTTTGAGAAAAATGTAAGAAATAATGAATTTGCTGCCAAATATGTTTTATATGTTGCCTAATGTAGTAGTATCGCAGACATTCTCTTTTCCTTATATACATAGGCTTCATCCCAGCGCTCCAGCAGTCATGACAAAGTAAGGAGAATAGTTGCAGAAGAGGGTCGCACAGCAAGGAACCTGATAGCGTGGAGTGTTCCACTGGAAAGCAGAGATGAAGATGGTGTGTATTAAAAAAATTCATTTTTGTTGTAAATTAGGTTATATTCAATCCTAAACAGTAGAAAGACTGAAAACTCAGAATTCTTTGGCAAATTTATATATGTAAAATAAGTAATTTTTAATTGCTTTTTAAATCTTATCTAATATACCTGTGGTCTCATAAGAGGTGTTTTACTTTTTTATATAAGAATGAAATTGGGTTTGTTATATTAGTATGACTGGCAGATTAATTTTTTTTCAAGTTAGAGGAGATTTATTTTTTCAAATTAAATTTTTGTAAAAATAAAACTAGGTTTTTAAAAAAATTGACTATTTACCGTGATTAGGTATAATTGAATGTAATGATTTAGAGATTAAAAGATAGTATATTTCTTTAGTTCTCATATTATTATTTGAACTAGAAAAAATATCTTTTCTCTTTGGTCCCTTCACTTCAATGGCCAGGAGCGGTGTGAACACTGCCTGGATTCTGGGATCTAGAAGATTGGATAGGGGTACAGAAAACAGGATGTTGGAGTGTGCCCAGGGAGACCTCACTTTAGAAATTTTCTGAGAACTTGTAGAGTAGTCCTCACATTTGGTTTGAATGGTGTCTTGTGCTTAGATTCAGTTACATTTTTTTGGAGGGGTTCTGTAGAAATTAATGTTGTGTCCTTTTCAGTGCATCATAAGAGGCAAGTGATGCTGGTTCATCTTATTGTTAGAGACGTCAGCTTTTATCATGTGGTTACAGTGGTATCTCCAGAGTTTCTCTACTGTAATTTTTTCCTTTGTAATTAGTAAGTAATTTGTGGTGTGATAGTTTGAGACTATGTAAATACCTCTTTCTCTAGAAACAGGCAACCCACTATTTCAGCTTCCATTGATAATTGTTAGCTGACTAAATTATTTTTCAGGTAGTTTCAAATGGTGATTTGTTAATAACTGAATTTTCCTTTTACATTTATTAGTTGACATTGTAATGTAAGAAACACCTTTCCCTTTCTTTTTTGTATATGTTCATATGTATTTTTTAAAATTTGCACGGACTCATCATTTCTTTTTTTTCTTTTTTCTTTTTTCTTTTGTTATCATTGATCTACAATTACATGAAGAACATTATGTTTACTAGGCTCTCCCCTACCCCAAGTCCCCCCACAAACCCCATTACAGTCACTGTCCATCAGCGTAGTAAGATGTTGTGGAATCACTACTCGTCTTCTCTGTGTTGCACAGCCCTCCCCTTTCCCCCACACCCCACATTATACATGCTAATCATAATACCCTCTTTCTTTTCCCCGCCCTTATCCCTCCCTTCCCACCCATCCTCCCCAGTCCCTTTCCCTTTGGTAACTGTTCGTCCATTCTTGGGTTCAGTGATTCTGCTGCTGTTTTGTTCCTTCAGTTTTTCCTTTGTTCTTATACTCCACTCATCATTTCTTATTTAATGAGTGATAGTCACTCTATTTTGATGCCTAAATTGTTATAGATTTGTCTAGGGAGACCTATTTAGCTGGCTCCTGTTTCCCTTTTTTTTTTAATTGAAGTATATCTGATAAACAACCTTACATTGGTTTCAAGTATATAACACAGTGTTTCAACAGTTACACACATTATTAAATCCTTACCCCAGCTACTGCAGTTACTATCTGTCAACATAGAAAAATGTTACAGAATCATTGGCTATATTATCCATGCTGTATTACCATTCCTGTGACCAACTTACATTATGACTGAGAATTTTTGTGCCCTTTTATCTCCCAGTCTAATCCCTTACCCACGGTAACCACCAGTCACTTCTCAGTGTCTGAGTCTACTGCTTATTTTGTTCATTTTGTTTTATTTTTTACATTCCATAAATACTTGAAATCCCATGGTATTTGTCTTTCTCTGCCTGGCTTATTTCACTTTGCATAATACCCTCTAGGTTTATGTTGTAAATGTCAGAGTTTCTTTCTTTTTTAGGGTGTAATAATATTCCTTTGTGTTTATGTACCACATTTTCTTTCTCATTCATCTATTGATGGACATTTTGGCTGCTTCCATATCTTGGCTGTTGTAAATAATATGGCAGTATACATAGGGTACATATATCCTTTCCAGTCATGTATGCTGTTTTCTTCGGGTAAATTCCTAAAAGTGGAATACTGGGCCTCCTGTTTCCTTTTGACATATTTTTATTCTCTGGGAGTATACCTACACAATAAGATGTTTCAAGCTATAAAAGAGTTCACCCAAGTTTTATTATTTCTTATTTATGTTTACATTTTACTTTTTTACATTTCATTATATTTTTATATACAATTTTACTTTTAGTCTTTTTACATTTATATCTGTGACTTGTTTGTACTTTATTCTTATGTATTGTGTGAGATACGGGTCAAATTTTCTTTTTTCCATATGGGTAACAAGTTGCCCCAGATCTCTTACTATAAAGTCTGTCTGCTTCAGTGATTTGAATTTTCATATGTAGTTATATTATATTCCACTAGTCTGTTTATCTAATTTGTGTGTGCATGCCACATTGTTTTGATTACAGAAACCCTATAGTATATAAAAATACTGGCTTGGACCAGTCCTCCCTCAGTAGCTTTTCCTTGTCAGTCTTCCTAGATATTTTTAGAAAGCAGTTATATTGAATCACAAAAACTATCAAGTAGAGGGGGGAAATTAAATTTATCTTTTTAAATTTAGCTTCTTCCTAGCTACAGTTTTCATAACGATCTTTCTATTCATTTCTTTGATAGAAAATATATACTGGCATTATTTACTATAAAAGTAACATAAAACCTAAAAATGTGGAAAGCAGTATGGCGGTTTCTCAAAAAAACTGAAAGTAGAAATACCGTATGACCCAGTAATTACACTTCCGGGAATTTACTCAAAGAAAACAAAATTATTAATATGAAAAGATATATGCATGCCTATGTTTATCACAGTATGGAACCACCTAAGTGTCCATCAGTAGTAGATGAATGGATAAAGATGTGGTACATATACAAAATGGAATATTAGTCATAAAAAAATGAAATCTTGCCTTTGCAACAATGTAGATGAACTTAGAGGGTGTTAGGCGAAGTGAAATAATTCAGAGAAAGACACATACCCTATTAAAAGAAAGACAAATATCCACTAATTTGTGGAATCTAAAAAGCAAATGAACATATAAGCAAAATGAAAACAGACTCATAAACACAGAGGTAGGGGTGGGTGAAATAGGTGAAGGGGATAAAGAAGTGCAAACATCCAATTACAAAATAAATTAGTCATACAGATGAAAGTACAGCATAGGAAATATAGTCAATAAAATGTAAAACTTTATGTTAACAGATGTCAACTACACTTATCAAGGTGTACATTTAGTAATGTATATGATTGTTGAATTACTATCTTGTGCATCTGAAAACAATATAATGTAAAAAAAGTTACCACCTTGTCTTACATTATATGCTAAAAGAAAACACCAAAAAATGTCTTATTGTTGCTTTGTAGTATAAAAATTATTATTATTGTTTATTTTGGTATCATTAATATACAATTACATGAGCAGCATTGTGGTTTCTAGATTCCCCCATTATCAAGTCCCCACCACATACACCATTACAGTCACTTCCATCAGCATAGTAAGATGCTATAGAATCACTACTTGTCTTCTTGTGCTATACTGCCTTCCCGGTGCTGCCCCTCTACATGATGTATGCTTATTGTAATGCCCCTATTCCACTTCTCCCTCCCTTCTCCCCACCCCCTAGTTCCTTTCCCTTTGGTAACTGTTAGTCCATTGTTGGGTTCTCTGACTCTGCTACTGTTTTGTTCCTTCAGTTTGTGCTTTGTTCTTACACTTCACAGATGAGTGACATCATTTGGTACTTGTCTTTCTCCACCTGGCTTATTTCACTGAGCATAATATCCTCTAGTTCATCCATGTTGTTGCAGATGGTAGGATTTGTTTTCTTCTTATGGCTGAATAGTATTCCAGTGTGTATATGTACCACCTCTTCTTTATCCGTTCATCTACTGATGGACACTTAGGTTGCTTCCATGTCCTGGCTATTGTAAATAGTGCTGTGATAAACATAGGGGTGCATCTGTCTTTTTGAGACTGGGAAACTGCATTGTTAGGGTAAATTCCTAGGAATTGAATTCCTGGGTCAAATGGTATTTCTATTTCTAGTTTTTTAAGGAACCTCCATACTGCTTCCCACAATGGTTGAACTAGCTTACATTCCCACCAGCAGTGTAGGAGGATTCCCCTTTCTCTGCATCCTCACCAGCATTTGTTGTTGCTTATCTTTTGGATGTTGGCTATCCCAGCTGGTGTGAGGTGATATCTCATTGTGGTTTTAATTTGCATTTCCCTGATAATTAGTGATGTGGAACATCTTTTCATGTGCCTGTTGGCCATCTGAATTTCTTCTTTGGAGAATTGTTCATGTCCTCTGCCCATTTTTTAATCAGGTTATTTGCTTTTTGGGTGTTAAGGTGTGTGAGTTCTTTGGATGTTAACCCCTGGTCAGATATATCATTTAGAAATATATTCTCCCATACTGTAGGATGCCTTGTTGTTCTGCTGGTGGTGTCCTTTGCTGTACAGAAGCTTTTAGCATGATGTAGTCCCATGTGTTCATTTTTGATTTTGTTTCCCTTGCCCGAGGAGATGTGTTCAGGAAAAACTTGCTCATGTTTATTTTTAAGAGATTTTTGCCTGTTTTCTTCTAAGAGTTTTATGGTTTCATGACTTACATTCAGGTCTTTGATCCATTTTGAATTTACTTTGTGTATGGTGTTAGACAACAATCCAGTTTCATTCTCTTGAATGTAGCTGTCCAGTTTTGCCAATACCAGCTGTTGAAGAGGCTGTCATTTTGCCATTGTATATCCACAACTCCTTTATTGTATATTAATTTACCATATTTGCTTAGGTTTATATCTGGGCTCTCTAGTCTGTTCCGCTGGTCTATGGGTCTGTTCTTGTGCCAGTACTGTGGCTTTGTAGTAGGGCTTGAAGTCAGGGAGCATGATTCCCCCTGATTTATTCTTCCTTCTCAGGATTGCTTTGGCTATTCAGGGTCTTTTGTGGTTCCCTCTGAATTTTAGAATGATTTGTTCCATTTTTTTGAAGAATGCTGTTGGTATTTTGATAGGAATTGCATTGAATCTGTGGATTGCTTTAGACAGGATGGCCATTTTGACAATATTAATTCTTCCTATCCATGAGGATGGGATGTGTTTCCGTTTATTGGTATCATCTTTAATTTCTCTCATGAGTGTTGTTTTCAGAGTATAGGTCTTTCACTTCCTTGGTTAGTTTATTCCTAGGTATTTATTCTTTTTGATGCAATTGTGAATGGAAATGTTTTCCTGATTTCTCTTTCTGCTAGTTCATTGTTAGTGTATAGGAATGCAACAGATGTTTGTGTATTAATTTTGTATCCTGCAACTTTGCTGAATTCAGATATTAGATCTAGTAGTTTTGGAGTGGGTTCTCTCAGGTTTTTTATGTACAATGTCATGTCATCTGCAGACAGTGACAGTTTAACTTCTTCCTTGCCAATCTGGATGCCTTTTATTTCTTTGTATTGTCTGATTGCTGTGGCTAGGACCTCCAGAACTATGTTGAATTAAAGTGGGGAGAGTGGGCATCCTTGTCTTGTTCCCGATCTTAGAGGAAAAGCTTTCAGCTTCTTGTTGTTAAATATAATGTTGGCTGTGGGTTTATCATATATGGCCTTTATTATGTTGAGGTACTTGCCCTCTATGCCCATTTTGTCGAGAGTTTTTATCATGAATGTATGTTGAATTTTCTCGAATGCTTTTTCAGCATCTATGGAGATGATCATGTGGTTTTTGTCCATTTTGTTGATGTGGTGGATGATGTTGATGGATTTTTGAATGTTGTACCATCCTTGCATCCCTGGGAGGAATCCCACTTGGTCATGATGGATGATCTTTTTGATGTATTTTTGTATTTGGCTTGCTAATATTTTGTTGAGTATTTTTGCATCTATGTTCATCAGGGATATTGGTCTGTGATGTCTTTTCTGGTTTTGGTATTAGAGTGATGTTGGCCTCATAGAATGTGTTTGGGAGTGTTCTCTTCACTTCTACTTTTTGGAAAACTTTCAGGAGAATGGGTATTAGGTCTTCACTAAATGTTTGTTAAAATTCATCAGTGAAACCTTCAGGTCCAGGGGTTTTGTTCTTAGGTAGTTTTTTGATTACCAATTCAATTTTGTTGCTGGTAATTGGTCTGTTCAGATTTTATGTTTCTTCCTGGGTCTGGCTTGGTATAAAAATTATTTTATGAAATTTTATTTTGCCATTTTCCACAGGTTGTTCAGAACATAAATTAATCTGATGGTGTTTTTATTAAAGTTGCTTCTATTCAAAAATCATGAAAGAAAATACAGTAATGAATCACATATCTGTGTGTAATCTGATATTGTATTTAATTACACAGAAAATTGGCCAGTACAATTTAAAGCCTCACATATGCTCATTCCAAAATAATAGAACTGTGAGCCTGGAGAATGAAAACTTTCTGTATGTTTATGATAGTGATGACAAAAGAATGTTAACTACATACTTTTTCATAAGGATTGTTTTATGTTAAAACCTAGCAACTTACAGGAAAATCTTTCTTTAAAAAAAGTAGCAACTTGTTTTATGGCTATAATATATACTCACATTTTTCTGTGGATAATGATTCAATTTTAAGAAGTTTTATTTGTTTTATTTTTTTCCTCTGGTACTTGTTCTAAGCTGGTTATTCTACTGGATATTCTAAAAAGCCTGCTGATACATTGTTCTCTATAATGAATGGATGAATAAAGGGCTGTGTAGGTAGGTGAGTGTAGAGTTCTCTGCCTCATCCCTTTTAGAACAGTGAGGGAGCCCATTTATGTACAAATAAATTGTTAGTAAGTGTTATAGCTCACTTCATTTGTACTGCTTTGGGTTCCTGGCCCCAAATTTTTTTGCAGAGAGGAAAATTATTCCGTTGTACATTATGGAATTTTGCTCCAGTTTTGAATTACTCTCAAGAATAGAGTGATTATAAAACAATAGTTAGTGTCTTTCTTATAAGAAAGAATAAGTGAGTTAGATGTATCTGACTGCAAAAATATGAAGAACTGAAAAGTTCCATTTTTAAAATGAAACTGTGTTGTATAAATCAGATACATGGACCAAAATAGAAAATACCGAGTTTTTGTATGATAAAAAATGTATTCTTTATTTTATTGTTGAAATAAAATTTGAATTCAAAGAAGCATTTTCCAGAATTATATATCAGCTAGGAGTTTAATTAACTTCACATTGTTTTTAAAGTGTCACAATATCTTACATCTTTAAGAAATTGATTTATTCTTGTCCTGAGAAAACCATTCAATAAAAGCAGTCTCTGGGATCATAGACATTTGTTTATTATTGTATCTGTAGTTCATATTGATTATGTATACCTTGTACTGTTCTGTAGTCTCTGGAGGGAGATTACATGTGTTAGTATGCCTGAATGATTTGCATAATTCAATTTTATATTACCTATTTGTTGATCTATATATTTATCTGTTCTTGCCTTGAAGGAAAATCTAAATATCAGACGGGTGGAAAATCAAAGAGGACAACTCAAGGCACTCATAAAAATTCTAAACAGGTACAGCACATACAATTTTTTATGTATTAACTTTTAATTTCAATTACATATAATTTTTGAATACTATATTTAATTTTTGTATTTGAATATTGTATGTTATATTTATGTAAAACTTCACAATAACATGCTGTATTTAACAAATATGTATATATAGTACTATGTCCCTATCTTGCAGTACTTTACAAATATCAGTTGCTCTTCATAACAACCTTTCAGTATAGGCATTATAATTATCTTTATTTACAAATGAGAAACCTGAGGTAGAGAGAGATTACAAAACTTGCTAGTAAGTGACAGCTAGGATTTGAACCTACGCCATCAATTTCCAAAATTTTTGTTCTTAACTCATCTGCTTCATATTACATATTTGTGAATTCTTTTATGTTTTTCCTTGGTATAATGATGACTTTAGGTTGCAGGATAGTATTGATATATTGAATAAAAAAATTCAAATTGCTGTACTAAAATTTTGGATTACACAGGCTACTTTATTAAAAAAATGTCTTTAGTATATAGGTAGCTTTTTGTTAATTTTGTTAATTTTTAATTTTGGTATCATTAATCTACAATTACATGAACATTATGTTTACTAGGCTCCCCCCTTCACCAAGCCCCCCCCCACATACCCCTTCACAGTCACTGTCCATCAGCATAGTAAGACGCTGTAAAATCACTACTTGTCTTCTCTGTGTTGTACAGCCTTCCCCGTGCCCCCCCCACACACTATACATGCTAATCGTAATGCCCCCTTTCTGCTCCCCCCCTTATCCCTCCCTTCCCACCCATCCTCCCCAGTCCCTTTCTCTTTGGTAACTGCGGTCCATTCTTGGGTTCTGTGAGTCCGCTGCTGTTTTGTTCCTTCAGTTTTTCTTTATTCTTATACTCCACATCTGAGTGAAATCATTTGGTACTTGTCTTTCTCCGCCTGGCTTATTTCACTGAGCATAATACCCTCTAGCTCCATCCATG